CAGTGTGCACCTGTACTCACTAGGTGGGAAAAGGTTTAACCTCAGCCTGCATAAAATGCACACACAGAGAATTTGGTAGCCATCCTTTTCTCTCTGTGTGTTCTTGGTGTACATCTATTCTGTAAAGACCATTTCTGTCAGCTCACTTCTATTGCAGGTAGAAGTACACTGACAGTGAGAAATCAGACCCTGACTGTTGTGGATTGCCTCTTATGGAAACGGCTACAACATTTCATTCCTAGCTGTGTGGTCAGATTGTGCTTCTCACTCTCTTTATTTACCAGGGAAAAATTTTAATTGCAGTGTAAAAATGCCAATTTAAGAATTATACAAATATCATAAGTTTGTAAAATCACTATTCCACATATGCAAAATAATAGCTTCTTCCCTGAAACAGCAGTAATGTAGAAGAATGTATTATATTTTAGCTGTCTCTTTTATTATTATTATTATTATGATGATGATGATGATGATGTCTCTAGAGATGCTGACTAAAGATTCCAGATAAAAAGAAAGGTGCTTCACAAGGTCCTTGACTAAACAGAAGAACACAGGATTCACTGGCTTTTAAGAGGCAAGCTATTCTATAAAAGAGTTTGAGATAATATTCTACCTACCGTAGCTTATGGATATTTTCATTATGTATATAGATGTCTAATCCTTCTTGAATCCTACTGATCTCTTGGCCTAAGTTATACCTAGTAGCAATGAGTTCAACTGCTTAATTACAGCTTTTGTTAAAAAAAAAGAAAAAAAGAAAAAAAAAAAAGCTTTCTTTGATAACATTTTATCCCCCTTTCTGCTTCATTAAACTTTGTTTCCTGAATGGATAAACAGAAGAACCTGGTTTACCTTTTTGGTACACTTCATTATCTCAGATAGTGCTATTACATTCCTTTTTACTCATTTTTGTCAACTGACTAGTCCCAGTCTCTCCAGTTTCAAACCATACAAAACTGCATGCATTTCACACTCTTTTGCAAGGCACAGTCTACATTTTGTGGGTCAGCAGAAAACAGCAAAACCATGACACTGTGCCACCCCAGTCCCAGGACTGTGCATGCTTATATGAAACAGTCTTTAAATAAAAGCAGATATGATCCTGGGAGCAGAGAGTGGAACCAAAAGGATGCTCAGAACATGCTCCCTTTCATCTTTGCTCACTGGCCCTCCACAGGATTCCTCTGAATCCTCCTGTTGACCACAGCCATTTCCCTAAGGGGTGGAAAACATGGGTTTGAGCCACCCAAGGTAGAAGGGGAAATGGGACCCACATGTCCCTCTTCCTTTGCAACTGCTCTGACAATGAGGTTATTGCATGATGAGAAGGGGGCAGGCACCATTGCTTTCTACCTCCTCTTCCCAGAGCATTTTAATAGAAAAGAGTGATTCCCTTCTCAGCACACTAAGAAACAAAAGAGAAAAGGAATCTAAGACCTACACTCATGAGGTTGTTTGGCTACTAATTGAATAGATGCTTCTGTCAGCTGGTTTGAACCTATGAGGTGCCAGGTAATAAATACAGGCATTTTGGGTTGCATGCTGGGAGCCACCTCCAGCAATATCAGCCTTGGAGGCACTTCAGTGCAGGATCACCTTGGTATCTTCAGAAGCCTCTGACCCAGACCTTGCCTCTTTTACACACCTGATGGACTGAACTGACTCCTGGACATCCTTCACCAGTTTAAACTGCCAAACTTATAAAAGGATGAAATTAAGTAAAATCCCACAGTTCTGCAGGTTTCAAGACAGTAGAGATAACCAAAGCCTCAAAATCACATTTGAGATCTTAGCAAGGAAATAGACCTGACTTTCCATTTTTATACAATTGTTTTAATGCAGTTTGGGTGCTACCAACATGCTTTCAATCTGAGCATTTTCTGCTGACAGTAGACCCTCTTCAATTAGCTTTGCTTGACCGTATTGCACTTTAGCAAGAAATAAGACATTCTTGTTTCATTTATTTGGCGTGCACAGTCCAGGTGTAATTATTCAAAATACTTTAAAGCTAAATATTATGACATATGTTTTGTTGGAGCTTCTCAGTGATAGAGGTCCTATTACCTCATTCTGTGCTCCTGATGACATCAGCCATGATAGCAGTTTCACTGAGAACATACAACAAAAGCAACAGGAAGTTCTCAAACTATATCAAAACACTGCCACATCAAGCAAGGTAACACATCTTTGACAGTGGCTATCAACCAGTGTTTTGGATGACCCAAAGCTGTTTCCAAAACATCCTCCTCACAAGCATAATCCTATGTATACCAAGGAAATTGCTTTAGCTGAGTATTCAGCTTTGTTGAGGTTTACCTAATTCCATATCCCTTTTCTGATTGTATTTATGCTTTTAGTTGGATTTAGTGTGTGTTTAGAGGATTTAACTGGTCTGTGACCTCACCTAACTGGGAAGAGCAAAGCACAGTTTGATGTTCAGCTGAAGGAACTGCATTATGAGACTTGGGAAGTAGGTTTACCTTTATGGCTGATATTGATGCTGCAGGCTGGGCAAGTGGGCACCACTGGAGGGTGCAGACTTCTCCTTTTTGTCAGTCCTAAGGCATGTTGGTCTTGGGATCTGTGTAAAAATCTGTGAATTGTAGTCTCTGTTGCTCTGCTTGAAAAGCAAAATAGAGGTTTGGTGTTCAGTGAAGTTGTTGATCGTAAATTCAGTGTTCATACCCTAAACGTCTCAGTGGCCCCTCTTTTTTTCCAGTTACTTTTTTCCACAAGGTCGAACTACTTCCATAGCAGTGACTGTCAATAAGGCACGTTACAAGAAGAGATGTGAGGAAATAAGTGTTAGACAGTTTCTTCTCGGCTTGCAGTGATGTGTAAACTCCCACAGCTCCTATGTCTTGAAAGTCCCGTGAAAATGCTAAATAACTATCACCGCCCCACCTCATGAAGACACATCACTTAAGGCTTTATCTACAAGTAGGCATGGTTTAAAATGCCTGATGGCATGGTCTGGAAGCCCAGCTGTGCTAAGGCAGTCACAGCACAAGCTCTGGAGAAGGTGATTCTCAAGCATCTCCCTAATGGGGATTGAAGTGCTATGGACCATCTCAAGAGAGCAACCAGCACATGTGCCAGAGCCAGAAGTGTAACTTGTGGAGCATATGCATCCCATCTTTACACTCAGATAGTAATGTGTTCAGGAAAAGCATGTTAAAGATATCACTAGCATTTTTATTTAACAAGCTTCATCGCTTTCTAATGTGGCATGTCTATTTCTGTCTTACAGCATTACTACTGCAACTACTACTTGCTCTGTTTACAAGTCCATTATCTTTATTTTTCTTATAATTACCCACAAATCTCAACTATATTGCAGAACATAACCTACTGCGGAGTACTTCCTAATGGGACATGCGTGCCATAGAGGAAAATGCTTCTGTAGCATCAGAGAGCTGTACTTTCCTGTGAAGAACACCTTGGTTACAAATTAATCCTTTGAGTACCTCTAGCACAATATAGAGATCCAGCAAAGCAAATAAATCTCAGGTAGTTGACAAGCCCTGCATTAGAGACCTCAACCTAATCCAATGGCAACTGTTAGCTTTCTGCTGATGACCATAAAGGACCAAGTCAGGCAAGGAACCAGTGGTCAACAGGAAGGAGGAATAGCCACAAGCCTTGGCTTCACCTGGAGGAGGTGGGCTCCAGTTATCCTTGTACCACGCTATATATCTCCAAGGAATTATTAATGAGGCATTTTAGATGCTGTAGGGACCCATAAAGTCAAAATCTGCCATTCACTAAAGGCACAAGCTAGCTTGACCCAAAAGCTGGAGTCAAATTCTCTCATAATCCAACTGTATTTCTTTGCACTAAACAAATGAACAAGAAAGAGATGCAAATTTTTTATGATGCTAACCATTTCCTTCACTTTCATTCATAATGTGCACCATGTCCTACTACTCAATACAAGTGTGACATATGATGTTAGGTGGGCCCATTAATTACAGTATCTCACTAGACCTTTAAAATGAAAGCTACTGCCTCTGGTAGTTTAGGTGGAACAGAGATATATAACCCCCTAAAATATCTGCAGTGGCCCCAATTTAGCAGCCAGCATTTTTTAATTTTTTTAGTTACATCAGTACTCCATTTTTTTTCTGGAATGGAGTTTGCCAATATAATTTGCAATTATTACTTTGCATAATAAATTCATCATTTTGAGTTCCTGACTCTGAAAAGCAAATCACTCTGAATATATTATCCATGGGAAATGAATTTGTTTGTGTGTTTCACCCAGATATATATAAAATATTCCTTCTCCTGGGGTGGAAGGGAAGGCTGGGATAGATTTTAATAAAACAGAAGAATTGAGACAATTTTGATAATAAAATCCTGCCTAAGCCAAGCTCTTACAGTAGCAAATCCCCTGGCAAGAGGCCTGTGGGTGGACGGTATCCAAGACCTCAGCCTAAGCAGCAGCCAGGGGCTCTGCAGAGCAAACCCAGTGTGACTTTATCACCTTTCCCCTCCAACTCCTTGCCCCACTCAGTCCACTTGAGATCTTGTGCCAAAGCACTCCCCCTGACTTACAATAGAGATTTTATTCCTCAGGAGCTGCTTCAAAGGACACACTGAGATTGCTTAACCCTGTCTTGTCACTTTTCCTGATTGCAAGCCAGAAAGCAGGAACATCGTACGGGCTGGCAGTGGCACTGAGTTGCTGAACTGTCAGCCCACACTTAATTCACCATCTACCATAAGCCCTATCTGGAGTTCTAGCCTGGAAAGGAGTACTTAAACCACTGCTGGTGGGAGCTGTACACTCATCGGCTTTGTGCAATGTAACGATGGATGTGGATTTTTCCTGTTTACCTCAGCCTCACATGTTAATTTTGGTAGCTCTGCTTTCCTTTATTCTTTCTGAGATTTAAAACTGCACCGGCAGCTTCATGCACATTCTTTCCCTCATTAGTTCAGTTCCCAGGCTGACATTTTTGTCTCTGCTTTAATTTTCATTCGAGCTAACAACTTACTTGCTGGGCTGCTCATTTGAGTCAACAGTCATGAGGGTTTGCTGAGGATGCTAGCCAAGAGGCAACTGCTTGATGGTGTTTTGTCACTGTTGTTTCTTCAGAAAAAGAATATAATAATAATTAGAAACAGTGAGTCAGTGGGAGTCTTCTCACGGTCAGATATCATTTCTTTCCTGTTAACACAACACAATGACTTTTATGTCATATGTTCAGGGTGTATTGACGTACTCTGCTGGTCATGTCCTGCACCAATCTGCAGGTCGTGTTATTTCATTTACTCGACTGCTGTTGTGCAGAGTGAAAATTCATGAGGAATTTGACCTTTTTAGCTCTTTAAGCATTTCATAAGGAGACTTGGAAATCCTTGCTACTTCTGTTCTAATTCCAGTGCTCATTAAGTGTTCATATTTGGGTTTGTAATCTGACCTGATACAATTATTCATGTGCCTTTTCTTCCCATTGATACTTTGGTAAGGCAAACAGGCAGATCAAAGTACAGCAGTAAGAACCTGAGTTGCACACAATGTTCATCTGCCCCTGCACAGACCAGTGACTGCATGTGAATACAGTAATCAGTATGTGCATGAGGCAATATTTTTATTAGGCTGGTTTTTTGCTAGGCACAGCAGATTACAGTTGCTTTTCCTTTTTTTTTTTTTTCCTTTTTTTCCTTAAGAAATAAGATTGCCACTTCCATATGTGATATTAGAAAGCTACTACCCCCGTATCTTTTACTTCTGTAGTCAATGCTAAGATCTCAGCCAAGGGCACAGCCGAGGCATTTGCATGTCAAGATGAAAATAATCCATTTTGATCCTCTACAGAAAATGTGGTAATAGTGGAAGAAGCTCAGAAAACATTACCAATCTCTCTGTGCCATGGGAGTCTTTGAGGGAATAGCATTCCAGAGAGGGGTGTGATACTGCAGTGCATCACTGATATGCTGGGAAGAGCACAAAGAGGAATTCAGACACAACAGAATTTATCTTGACAGAAAAAAAAAAAGAAAAAGCAGAAAAAGAGCTGCTGAAATAAAGGCTGGCTGAAGTACTTAGCTGAGATGCCTAAGCTTGGGGTGCTTGAGATGTCTAAACTAAGGATGTTTTGACCATAGCTACTAAGTGGGGAGACAGCAGATCTAGAGGTATTTCTTAAGGGTAGGTGGGTTGAATTAAAACCAAGATAGATTGGGTAGATAATAAAAACATCAGTTTATATGTAGGTCCGCAGCTGAATATGCACTGTTGTGTTTGTCCATCCAACATGTACTTTTAAAATGCATTACGTAGCTGGACCTGACCTGGCTCAGGTTCATCCTGCTCAAGTCAAGCAGTGTGTGTCTGTATGCCATAATGGTTTTTTTTGCTCTGGAGACAGATGTATTTCTCTGTTCAGAAAGCCTTCAGGCAGCGGGAAGGACCACAGCCCCCAGCAAAGTCCTCCAGAGCTTCTGCTTTCTAGAAGGGAGAGGCATGGCTGTAGGCATCATGCATGTGTGATGGGCAGCACTTCTCCAGGGAGCTGCCTTGGGCAGTGCATTGTGGAGAACACCATATACCTTGTCTTCATCCACATCTTCACCTGTGGATATCGCTTTTCCACTTCGGAGCTCAATGAGCAACTTTGCTTTTACAGAACCATGGGGAATATTTCATTGCAGCCTTTGGCTGAGCCAGGATGAAATGACAATCAGATTTTGAACCTGCAGCTCTTCCCAGAGCCAGTTTCTCCTAGGGCTCTCTTCAAGACTCAACAACAACTCCAGACTCCGGTCTTCAAGGACACAGCTGTTAAACAATGTTGACTTAAAACTCCTTACAAGTAATGGACACAGCCTGTGAAGTCCAAATGTGTACAAAGACCAAGTAACAGGAACCCAGAATGTAAAGCAATACAGAGACAAACTGTGATCATGTAAGTCCAACCCTCATTTCGTACTATCTTGTGGCTCCTTGAACTATCAGCCTTTCCAGCTGAGGTTCCGCTGGGCTTGTACATCTGCAAACATCAACAATACTGATTTTAAACTTGGCCTTTAGATTATCTATAAAATGATAGAGGAAATGCTCCCACACAGCTCACTCCAACATAAACATTCAGTGTGTGATGCAGTGTGCTCCTTCCTCTTTTTCAGGTCCTGAGGAAAAAAAAAATCCCCACTGGACCGAAAGGAAAGAAAAAGGAAGAAGAGGCCTGGAATTAGAAAAAAAAACAAGTAATATGAAATAAAAATTGTGGAGGATAATGTCCTAAAAAATTCCACAGGGTTAGGAAGAAATCTGCTACAGACTAATTTTTTAAAAGAAGACTATTTGTGTGTATTAATTGGGTAACAAGACTGATGGGCAGGTACTGTGATTTATGTTTTTCGTTATTCTTTGGTTGTAATGCCCCTCATTCTAAATGTGTTCTTTATTTATTGTTAGAACCTTCAAAGCCAGCATATTCAATCAGTACTACTGAAATATGGGAGCCAGGCAAATTACTCTCTGTCTCTCTTTTTGCCCCTGTTAATCCTCAAGGATTTCTCCTACCAAATTATCATTTCTCCTTTTACTCTTCTCCTGCTCCTATGCTCTTCTTCCTCAGCTCACGTGGGAATTATCCAGGGTCCTAAGTGTTAAGATTGAGGTCTACGCTGCAGCAAAATCCTATTTAAATCTCCTGGATATTTGATAGGAGGCAAAGATTCAAAATCTGCAAAAATAATATGTTCTAAAATTTGCGGAAGGAATAAAATTAATGCATATGCCATGGCACTACCCTGTACTACTTCCCATCTGGGAGGAAAGAAATAGGCATTTCAGCTTAATAATATGCATGGTTCTCCCATTAGATTCCAGAATCTTTTAATGTAGATACACATCATTTTCTGGATATCAACAAACCACTTGAAGTATTATTTATACTCAAGGCTAGAATGATTGCCATGAGAATAATTGTGTAAAGGCTGGAATAGGAAAACAAAATTAACATTGCTGAATGATATTCAGGCCTCAGTGATTTGGCAAACTTAGCAAAGATCATGTCAGTTAAATGACAGATATAAGCCGTTGCAAAAAAATATAGTGGTATTTCTTGAAAATATCTGATAAAGGTTAATGTTATTAACATTCTACTTGGTATGTAGTTGGTGTGAATGCAATATGTTCTTTATGATTTCTGTTTTCAAATATCAATGATACTGGATTTTTTTTATTAACAGTATGTAACAATGTATTGATTTTTTTTCTCTTTGTAAAAATAATTAAAGCTCTTAAGATTGGAAGAAAAAAATCTAAACAGATTAAATCCCAACCTACATATCTGAGACTATAAAACTAATGTTTCCATCAGCCATTACAGTATTTTATTCTTCTTGATCAAATTCAGATTAATTTTGTACTTTTATTTCTGGGGTTTAAGAGCTTTTTCTTCACTGTCAACCTCTCCCTAGCTTCATGGGGAGGTATGATGGTTTTAGATCATCCCTTCTGCCCTGAATCAGTGCAAACCTTGTGAAACTAGTAGGCATACAATAGAAAGAGGCAGCATGTACCATCCTTCCAATGTCCGTAGTTCATATGCAGGGATTTATCCTGCTCTTCCAAAGATTCCTTTAATTCCCAAGTGATGCTAGTGTAAGTGTAAGAAACTCATGTGCCAGTGATATGCATGTGATAACCTCTCTGATGTTGCTTGTGTGGATTAGCCTGTTTTACTAGGCTGCCTTTGTCTGTCCTTTAAACAAAGGCAGCCAGCCTTCCCAGTAGCTTAAGTTCTTCATTTACTTTCCTGTCTTTTTTCTTCCCGGTCTCAATTTCACTGGCACTGGTTTCCTCTCATGGCCCCAGTAGGGAACAGCAAAGGGTGCTGTAATTTCCATGTAATGATGACTCCAGAAATTCCATTAATATGCCAGTGTCTCCAGTTACTCATGCAGAATTAAGGAACACAATTAAAAATATCTTAGTTGGATTCCAGACATGTTAGTGCTAAGCTTTGCTACAAGAGCTGGTGAGCATGGTTTGTGCTTGTTCAGCCTGGAGAAGAGAAGGCTCCAAGAAGACCTTACAGCAGCTGCCAATACCTAAAGGGGTTACAAGAAAACTGAAGAGGGGCTTTGGACAAGGGCCTGTAGCACAAGAACAAGGGGGAATGGCTTTAACCTGACAGAGGGGAGATTGAGATGAGCTCTTAGGCAGAAGTTCTTCCCTGTGAGGGTGCTGAGGCCCTGGCACAGGTTGCCCATAGAAGCTGTGGCTGCCCCATCCCTGGCAGTGCTCAAGGCCAGGTTGGGCGGGGCTTGGAGCAACCTGGTCTAGTGGAAGGTGTCCCTGCCTGTGGCAGGAGGTTGGAACTGGATGAGCTTTAAGGTCCCTTCCAACCCAAACTGGTCTGTAATTTCATGGTGAGGAAGAGGTAGATAGCCACAAAGAAAAGAAGTGGTCACCAGAAAAGCTGCAATAATCAACTCCCAATCAACATTTCAGAGAATTACTGAACATAACCTAACAAAATTCATGCTATGGTGGCAACTAGTGAGTTATAAACAAGTGTAAGTACAGGGGAACAATGCTGGAAAGGTCCGCGCTCAACACCTTGAACCAAATGCATCAAAAACATTACTGTCTGAGCGCTGCTCAATGCATTGCTTTGGACAATGATCCCAACCCCTGGGACACATGTATGCTGGAAGCTGTTCTGGTGCACTTCAGCACATCAGGGGACAAAATGCAGTAACTATTGAGCAGTCTTTTCCGTGTCATTTCATGTTGCACACATTTGCCTGATGATGAGCAACATGCGATCTTAACTAGTGGTTTTTACCTTTAGTGTTTAACCGCATTACATTGGGTGCCACTGCAACACCATTTCTGTGAAAGACAGGCACGTGACCTAAAGGTAAGTGAATTTTCTATTCAGACCATGCATTCAGTTTTTGACCCACCACCTCCTCCATTCTGTCCAATTTCATAATCCACTTGATTTAAAAACCTGATTTTACCCCTTGCACACCCTTTAAATCTCATTTCTTATCCCCTAACTCAATTAACACAGCTTAGTGAAATTGTTGCAAACATCTTTTGGGGGGGATTATGCTCTTAATTATATTTTTTAAAAGAATGGACTATTCAATAATCTGTATTCATGATGTAATCAGAAATAAAATTTAAAAAAAATCCTATGAAAACTATTTAATAATATTCTAAGCTACTCAGCATTTAATTAGGGTTATTAGAAGATTAGAAATGAGATAGAAGAATAAGGAATAAATCTGAAGTCTATAACCATTGTTTCTAAAGTGAATGACCATATTAAGGTTTTCCGAAAACCAAAATGGTAATACGTCTTTTCTCCCACAAGATCCTGCTTCAGAAACATGCTTTTGTGCTTGGGAGGCGATTAAAGTCTTTGAAATTGTTCTATAAATAAAGTGAACCTACTGAGTATCAGCCTGTCCCTTCAACAGAGCCAAAATAAGCACTCAAACACCAGGACTGACTCCCTAGCTAGAAGAAAAATCCTCTCCTCCCTGCAAAATTGGGAACTGCATTGAGGCTGTTGCAGAGAACTGCGTGTGGGAAGATGCAGTGCTCTGGCACACGTGCCAGAGGACTTGGGGTGCCCTGTACTTCACACCCAATGGTATGTTGGGTACTCACATCCCGTGTCACCCTGTACAGAAGCTGGCTCAGCTGACTGGGACCCAAAGCCGCTCAAGGAAGCCAAACCAGCAGTCCTGGCCACATCTGACATGCAGATGCAAAGCATAAATGTTGTTCATGGTAGTTTTCAGCTTGGACACTAGCAGAGATTTCAAGCAGCCTCAGCCTGCTCTCTTTTATTTTCTTTATTGTATATTTTGTTTCCCGATAGACCATTTGAAGGTGAAATGCACCTCACACTAAACCTATGCTATGGGTATTTGGGATCTGATTGTGCATTTGTTCTACAAATAAA